GAACACAGTGCCTCCAATCACTAAATCGTTGAATGCAAAGAATTCTGGAAACAGTTCTTCATTCTCATTCATCATTTCACCGAGTGCTTCTCGGTCCATGGTTGGTTATCTTCCTGTGTTGTCCGCTCCCAGTTTGGCATTCATGTCATCCCACCCACTAGAATGTTGATGTCGCCAACTGAGATCTCGTCCAGTGTTGATTGCAGTTGTCTGTAGAATTCCTCCTTTTCTCTTGCTCTGCATTATTTGTAGGTGCGTAGAATTGAATGGTTATGACTTTCTTTTTTTCGAGTTGAATCCATCTTGCTGTCATGATCCCACTGTTCCCACTGTATGAGAGCCCTTGATGGTGTTGGGGACATCATGATAGCCACTCTAAAACTGAGTGTGCTCGTGGTTGTCTGAGTGACAATATTGGAGTAGATTATTGACTCTCTAGTTGACAGTTTGGAGAGGCCACTTCCATTCCATCTGCAGATTTCTCTCAGATTCCTAACACTTCTGTGCTATACCTTCTCATCTCTTTTGCAACCTAGTCAGCCTTGCTAGGTTCAAACTTAGTGTGGACATTCCATGTCCCCATCCTTACTTTCGCTTTCACCGAGAGAAGACACATCGGCCAATTGGCTTCCCGAAGGGAGGTTTTCACCCACCGGCGTCATTTCGTCTCTCCGATTCCAGTGAGGAATAAGTTTATTTTTTATATTTTGTTTGTGCTTCGGAGTTTCTGTAGCAGTTGGATTGGCTTTACGGGGTAGGGTTGCTAGCCCTATGCCCAACCTTCCCTGTATACCCGGGCTTAGGACCGGCTAGTAACCAGTGAAATCGATGTGATTACTTTGATATGAATATGAGCGATAAATCCTGCTCGGAACGTTATCCGATAAATAATACTCTATCATTGTATGGTATATTAAATAAGCAATGTACTATGAAATTATACTTTACCACGGTACCCAAGTGACTGAAATAACTGGGTAGTTTATTGATAATTCCATGGTGTTTGAAATTATAAGTGAAGGACTACCCCTACATGTGAACGCTAGTAGATTCACCTGGCAAATCTCGAAGTAGATGAAACATTCGTCTAGATTCAGCCCATAGTCACCAGTGAATACTACAGAAATTGACCTATGTCGACTACTTACTCATTTGAAAATCAGTAAACTATATCCTTTGTAGTTAATGAAAAGTTGTCTACAATTCTATGTATGTATCTGCATAACCTTGACCTACCTTAATGTTGGTATTTATTTTGTATATATTCACCTTGACATTTTCACTGACTTGAAAATAACTTTTTACTCTGAGGTTTAAGCAGTCACATGTTCATAAATGAATATTGATAAATTACTCTTCTTAATTTGTAAATTAAATTCTCCTAGATCAAAAAGGCTTATAGGAATACATATATTATGAGATGTTTATTTTTTTGACCACCTGTGGGAGATAGCTGTGGCTTGATTAGACTAGTATTGATACTGGGTGACAATTGAAGGTGAAATGAGAATTTTGTCCATGGTGGGACTCGAACCAGTGACCACCGGGTTTCTGTCCTGGTGCCCAGTTGGTAGAACACCAGGCTGGAAACCCAATGGTCGTTGGTTCGAATCCCACCATGGACCAAATTCTCATTTCACCTTCAACCATCCTACAGTTTATTTATCTATCTCAAAATATAACTATTAGTTAGATATACGAACCCTAGTTCAATCAACTACTAACACTGACCCCTTAAATATATTTCAATGGTAACTTCAACAAGGCGTTTAAAATAATTTTCTTAATTCACCGTTTAAGTCTCTATCAAAAATAAATAATCAGCTTAGACTCATGCTGTTGTCAAAAAATTGATCAACAAATAACAGACAGAGTTTAGAAGCTTTGAGGTGCAATCGAAATCAGAGAATCACTGTTTAGTGATTACTGAAACAAACAAGAAAGAATAAATGGCAGTTTCAGAAGAAAAACATGTTACTTATGATTTAGGAATCGATTGTGTCAGATAATGATGAGATTTTATCTCTTTAGCTTGAAGAAGAAAATTTATAATGAAGTTAATATCTGCTTGGAAGGGGTAAAGCTTTGGATAGTTATTGATATAAACCATGCATATATATATGTAGACCAAAATAAAAAGGTTCTATGGTGTTCTTCTTATTTTATATTGCTGCAAAACTTCACGAGCAGCAACTTGATGTATTAGCTTCCTGAAGTGCCTTTAAAGTTACACTCAATGAGTCTGTCTGCTTTGATAACATTCATAAAATCAAACAAAGTAGTACAAAATTTATTTCTATACATACACTAATATTTCTCCTTTCATCAGAATAAGAATTTTGTTATTTGAGGTAGTATTCATCATGGACTGACATCAGTTAGGGAACCATTGAAAACCTGGGAGCACTGGACAACTGTTTCATCCTAGTATGGTTATCTTAAGATTGCATTTTGTATGGAAACTGTAAAACACTATATAGCAACCTCTGATTAAAATATCACTTTTTATTCCCACTAAAAGCTTTAATTCTATCCATTCCCACTATTATATATTCAGGTTAATTATTTACTCGTTGTTGTAGATGTCTCTTATCCATCCATGGTCTGCACTACACACAATTACTGCTGAAAATCTAATATGTTACATTATCATCTAGGCAATCTTGCATACAGTTTTACATGAATCATTGACCGTAACTGAATAGGTGTCTGTTAAGTACCCTATTACATCACAATTTCCTTTCTTATTGACACACTATTTACTTTGGTAACCAAAATAGCACGTTGTACTAGGAAAAGAAAGAGAATATCTCACAATATAAAGTTATATCCCTTAATGAAGCCAATTAGAGTAAATAACCGTAGTCTCTGTGTTTAGAAAAAGTTAACCCAACTATCATTTCTATCTTGACCAAAGAGAAATTAAAACTGATTTAAACCATTAAAATCCTTCTGATTCATCTTGAAGGTTTGTGGAGATTTATTGATGTTACGGTGGTATTCGTCACGAATTGACATCATCTGGAGAACCTACAACATGGGACGGCCTTGAAGAATACCATTTGTAGATGAAATAAATCCCCACAAACCTTCAAAGTGAATTTTTATCCTGTGCTCATTAATGATATGCTTCATGATGAGATATCCCGAAGTTCTAATAAGTCATCATATGTGGGACAAACCGAGTCGGATATGAGAGCAAATGATATTCACGCCATCAGATTCCAACTCACTGGCTTTATGGTTCTGTGGTCGCCGTGAGATCCGAAAATCATAAGTTCGATCGATGATCAGGTCATCGGTGCGCACTGCTGAAGAGTCCCATACAGTTCTCTTTTATTATTCCCTACTTCATTGACATAACCTTCCATATTGTTTTGGACTTTGATTATTTACATGCTTTTTTATTTCGTGGTTGGCAACTTTATTTTGTAAAATTTTTAGTGACATTTATTCCTTAACTATTGTGTTATTCTCATAATTATTACAATCAGTAATATAGCTAGTAACACACAACTATTTTCTTGATAGTTCCTGACTGCTTGTTTGCTATCGTGCTATTACAGACCCAAAAAATGCCAAAATTGGTTGGACATATGATGTATAGGTAATGTTGTATGTATCTGAGACCATATCCTGAAGAGAGCTAACTGGAAAAAAAATAGTGGGAACAATATTCACTGAGGTGCAAGTACATCTAGCTGATGAGCCTCAATTAGGAGGAAAAGCGCGTTCTACAACTAAGTCAATCACTAGAACAACATTTTTGCCTACATGTTTTCTTCTTATATCTTATCTCCATCCAATACTTCGTGTTACTGTAATTAGAAAAATATAGAAAAATAGGTTGCAAATCAAATCCTAGTTTAGTTTGTTTTAGGCCTACACATATCGATACTTTTTCCTTGTTTCAGAAATTCGTAAAAACCAGGAAAGCTCTGCTGGATCAGTTAATTCAACTCATGACTTCGTGATAACTTTCCTTTGAAAATGTTTTTTTGTTAGCTAAATGACACTTATGACTTATACATTTTAACAGTGGTGAACTGAAACAAGATATTTTCGCCATATAAATTTGAAAAACTTCCAAAAACGCTGATAAAAGTTGTTTACTTACTTGAATGAACTTAGATTATGCTTAAATGGTTCATTAAAAGAAAATTTACTATGAAATTATCGACCTAACACTATTTTAAGTTGCATAACCATTAATTTCATAATCCATGCGTTAAGATTTTTAAGTAAAAACTAATACAAACGTGAAGTGGATCTAAACGATATATTTGAAATATACGCAATACAATCTCAGCAAATAAAACAATGGACAAACGGTAAAATACATAGGAGTGTAGTGGATTTGAAAAGGTGCACATGTAATCAGTCTGAAATTTACTAAATTTACCAGTTTGAATGCTTAAAATACGATACTAAAAACTGTCTAAATATGGTTTCGCATGAAATTTTAAAAATACGAAACACTGTCAGCTATATTTTATCTTACCAGACTGTGTCCAGTTATTTGGTGTTATTTGACTAAAACTACTTACTCATGAGACGCCTATGAGGTAAAAGTAGGAGCCTGTGGGTTCACTTTTCATGCTGCGTGGTATTCATTATTAACTTCAAGGAAGTATATACTTCTTATTAAATCCCTCTCAGCCTTATTATATCTTAATGTGGAGGCATTAGTGATTGGTCAGTTGTGTAAATTTTATTCCATTGGAAAATTGAGTTAGATTAACTGAGTAATTAGCTTCACGCTGCATCTCTTAAAATCAGCGAATGCATTCTGTGACTCCAAACTGAAAAGTATTTACAAAATTTATTTGGAAAAATTATCTTGTTGGAAAACTTGTGCTTCAAGCAGGTACTCATCAGCTGCTGAATTAGCTACAGATGAAAGCATAACTGTAGGTGCAATTGATATAAGTAACCAATTAACACATATTAGCACAACTCGCCTAGCTTGTTTTTACCATCATTTCTTGTTTTCTTTACAGTCTCCGTATTCATCAACTTAAACAAATGGAAATTAAAGCTCGAAGTCTACAAAGTGATCAGTGTGTGAGCATACAAACTAAAAGGAAAGAATGGACAGAAGCAATGAATAAAGTAAGTCAGAGTGTTTTGTCTTTCTCTTGATTCTATCTAATTCGATATTGTTTGAAAAGGTCAGATAAATGTTATGCACTATTGACATTCTCTGAAGTGGAAGTTTCACTGATACTCTTCATCTTCACCAAGAGTTGAGAATTCGTTGTGCTGTATCACTCACACACTTTTTTGAAAGAAAAGAAGTCATAAAAACTACATTTTTATAACATCGTAAAGGTCTACATCTTTGCAGAAGGATCTACAAGTTATCTTGTCCTTCGCTTTCACGTGAATCACAACCTAACGATCGAAATGGTTTCAAAAGGAGTGGTTTCAAAGGTCACCGTAATAACAGTAATAACCTGCTTCCAGATGCATATCACAAAGCCCAAATGAGAAGTGGTGACCTGCACGGTCAACCAGTCGGAAGTGAAGTGGATGCTAACTGAAGACCTTGGGTGACAGTCGCGCTATGTCGTGAATTGACAGAAATTGGAAGTTGTGAACCACTGGAAACCGACCCAGTGGCTGGATAGTTAATGCGTTCTCCGTGAAACCTGAAGGTCCTGAGTTCGATCCCTAGCCGGGTCGTGGGTGTGTACTGCTGAGGAGTCCCATACTAGGACGAAACAGCTGTCCTATGCTTCCAGATTTCCAATGGTTCCCCAACTGATATCAGTCCATGATGAATACTACTTCTAAATTAAAATCCCCATTCATCTCAAAAATACAGAAATATTTTGCCATTACATCAGTTGGTAGGGCAATTAATCGCCAGTGTCACTCTTTGAAAAGTAGAAAGTTAAAAAATCTTATTTTTACGCCATTCACTAGTTCACTATGTAACAGATTATAACAAGAAGCTTATGTATGTATGTATGTATGTACGTATGAATTCAATATTCGTTTATTCTATGCCACTTAACTGAGTCTGGTTTGCTGTTTTTGATGGCATTATGTTCTCTGAGCTGGATGGTTTAATCCTGAAGCTTTCACTGTCATTCTAGATAGCATCATCAGTACAGACGTTAGGACAAAGTGAGCTATAATTTGTTCCCCGCAAGTATCCTAGTAGCTTGTCTTAATGGCCTTGTATGTGACTGGCTGTTTCCGTTAAAGTTTTGTCATTGTCTCCATATCTGTTTATTTTGGTTGTCCTACTGTCATGAACTTTGACCCTTCTTGTTATTTCTTATTGGTTGACAGAATGGGCTAATGTTAATATGTCTGGGGGTCACTGACTGAACTGAATACCAAGCTTGTAAAAATTCTCTGGCATTCTTTGTATTTTTACTACTCAAGATTCCCACTTTACTTTATTCGTAAGACGTACTGTTTCACAGTCTTAAAATATTTTCAACCTATTGTTAGACAAGCTGACAACAAAATTACTACAAAATTTTGCAGTAGATTGCAGTGGGCCCCTGAACGCATAACAATACACCATATAGCCATTACAACAATAGTTAGCTGAAGCTACATATTGTCATACTGACTGAATGGACCTCCACCAACAAGCTTACGGGCACTTTCCTCATACGCCCTCCCCCCATTAGTGTAACAACGTACATATAAACAATATGTAGCCTAAAAACAACTGATTGTTGTATATTGTTGCTTACCATACTTTTATTACGAACATTATTTACCTACCAAGACTGTTTAATTTTAAAATATTCCAAAGGGAGTAAATATGTTGAAATATCACACTGAGAACTCCATACTTTACTAAAAATTGTTGTCTGGTATAAAGTGATTGTTATTAGTATTATTCGAAACCAATGTATCCTGCATATTATCCGCTTGATAGTCCCTAGCAGTACGATTCAGGATATATGCTTCGTCCTACTTGGAACTGAGACTATCCCAATGGCTTATAATATTCCCACTGAGACCTAAATGCACAGCCTATCTCTTTGAAACACAAGAGTGGCATGCACAAGGCTACTGAGTCACGCAACTGTCAAGTATCCTGTTTCTTTTACCAGTAAATCTCAGGATTTCATATAACCAACTCCTGTAAGGGTAATTATATTTAGTTACTTCATTTTAATGATGCGTCAAAGTGACTGACCCTTCTCATCGAAGCAGTCATAGTGAAAAAGGATTATTTGGATCAAAAGATGCAGGTACTATTTAAAGAAGCAAACAAGACCACAAAATTGAGCTTATCGAACTGAAATGCTAGTTATTTCTCAGATAAAACCCATGTACCACATAAACATTTGAATGTTTCTTCTTTATGGTACAGTCAACTGTATCAGTGACTTTCAACTTTTCAATGAGGATGTTACTATCCACTTAGTTGGAATCCAACAACTAACATCTAACTCCAGTCTGTGGACGAATTACCATGATCGAAATCGTAAGTTATCGGTTAGCATTCACTGTTGCTTCTGATTTAGTTAGGTCTACAATAAATCGCATCTGTTTATTAAAACTTTAAGTAACTAGTCGACAAGTAATTACTTTTCGTTTCATAGTTTATTAAGAGTTAATTGGTTCACAGATGGCTTGCACCATGAAATGATGTCAGAAGTACCTGATAAGTCAAGTATTCACTTCTCAACCTAAGTTTTTAGAAAGTAACTGTGAGTGTGTGCTTCTATAAAATGTTAACTCAAATAAGCATAAAATAGCAGTTCTCTCTGGTTTCTAATAGTTATTCAGATAATATCAATCTGTGATCAAAACTTTGCTAACCAACTTCTTAGAAAACAATTAATCACGCATGAGATATCCGTCAATACAATTTTCTTAAATACCAGTCAAGAAGGATTTGAAGATGAAGGAATTAATATGAAGCCGGGTGAAATTTAATCATGAATGTTGAAGTTTACGCGAGCTAAAATTTAACAAACACATAGGTTCTAGAGAAAGATAAAACTACTAATCAACTTGAGTAGTAAGAAACCACTCAGGCTGCTGATCTGTAGATTTTTCCAGCTATATGAGGGTGATCTATGTAAATACCGGACAACTGTTTGGCTTGTTCTGTGCCGAGCTCATTAGCAGTGTACACGGACAATTTCAGCTAATACAGCCGAATAAATTAAAATTATCTACATTTGGTTGGTTAACTGACTTGTATGGACTGGTATACCAAAAATAGGATGACCGATTTTACAAATGGTCCACGTTGATATTTCTCATAGCTGAGTAACAATTTCAGCTGCCTAACTGTGGTGTCGACAATGTTTTTGCTGAAAAAAGAACTCAGCGGAGATAACTAGATGCGATATGTGACCATAACTTCTATCCGGTGTTTAGATAGATTACTCTCATCTGGATGCCGAAACCTGCAGATCATTTTGAATGGTTTCTAACTACTCAAGTTGTTCAGTAACAATATCTTTCGCTAGCTATTGACACTTTTGTGTTGGAGATTACACATCATGATCTTAGCTACAGTGTGGTTTCTAACGGAAATTCTGTTAACATAACAGTTGGGCAGTTGAAAAAAAATACTCAGCAGTGAGAAATATCAACTTGGATAGTGCAATTTCTAGATCATATGCAAATTAATCGTACTATCTCACAGGTTCGCTTTATATCATCCTTCACAATTTAGTAGTCAGTTGAAGCACAACTGGATACATGAAAATGATATAGGGATAGAGAGAAAAGATTACTTTGAAGAGGAATCAGTCAAAATGTACTTTATGTTATCCCGTCCATAGTTAGATGGATCACTAAATCAATAGGATACTTTTAAATGGCCAACTATCCTTATATTAGATACATTTTCCTTTGTTCTTGTCTTCTCGCCTTCGACCCCAATATACGTTTCTATATGTCACCGTATCTTCTCCACCAATTAGTCAGATCGGGAATCAACTAGGAATTTGTTGAACGTTGGTGACTGACAGTCGATATCCAGCATTGTTAGTGGCCATAGCAGTTTTCGAACCATAATAGAAAAGCCAGTTTTATTCCAAGATAAGTGAGGAAATAGACTACTTATATGTTGCGATAAAAATGTTCTTCATAGCACTAATCAAACTCTAATTGGTCAGTATAAAGAAACAGATATATTATTACTATCCTGGGATCAATTATGGTAACTTTTGAACTCCACCCGCTACACTTAGCGAACAGCATCATAATACTGAACCAACAAGAGGCGAACAAAAGTAGTAAAAACAGTCAGGTTTAAATACGGAATAAGATTAGATAAAACGGCAAAATACCTAAAAATTGCAGTTACATAAATATTTACTCCATTCCACCACTATGACCCATTTCATATGTCAAGCCAGACACTGAATAACTGATAAGTGAGTACGATGCTGAAGTATGAACACCATACTCCAATTTTCACTTCTCTCAAACCCTAAGTAGGATAATATTAGATAATCAAAAAAGGGTTACTAATGGTATGGAACCACAGAATAAAGTGTACTCTTCTATCGAATGTCTCATTAAAGACTTAAAAACCTTATTGAGCATCGAAGTCCGTCTTTTCAATATTTCAGTAGAAATTCTTTTATGACTGTCTAGCTGATTAGTCGAAATGAAACACACACACTTTGAAAATCCACCCAGTAAAAATGTGACAACCGTAAAATCAGCTAAATTTTGTCTTAATATACTAACTGAGTATATATTATCGAATATTTAAGGATATTGTCAGCAACAAGCTAATATTGACCTAAGTATGGAATATTGTACTACTTTTATGATGAATAGCTTGATTTCCGATCTCACTTTTGCATACAGATCAATGAAACTATCTTATCCCTTTAAAATCTCATGTACCTTAATAACTGTTTATTTTTATAGATGGATTTGTTATCACAAGCCTGGGCGAATGAAAGACAGGCTAAAATTGCAGCAGTACAAAAATTACGTGAAAATTTGAAATTTTTATCAAGTCAGTCTCATAGACTTGGCATGGCAAATAAATTAAAACATATGAATTATTTTAGCCGTTCAAATAATAACGGTAAGTAAGCGTATATAAGAGTGTATTCATTTTCATGAGTTTACCTTATTTACTCCTCAACGCTGAATGTATACACTTTGATACTACTGACGGACGGTGGCCTAACAGTAGAATCCAGGACGTGAATGTCGTCTTACTTGGGACCCATTAGCTGGATGTACCTGCCTTCTGGCAAGCTATGTTATTTCTACTGAGACTCGAACCCGGAACTTGGTGGCCTAGGGAACAACGCTCTGGCGTTTCAAGCGATCGGTCTCAAATCTGAGTCATAGTGGGAACAATACCGCTCACTGAGATGCAGGTACATCCACCTTATAAGTCCCAAACGAGACGAAACATGCGTTCTGGATTCCACTGCTAGCCACCAAAACTGAAACGACAGGCAATACGGAAACATCCGTACAGAAGCCCATATGCTAGTAGTGACCAATCAATTCGGTTCAAACAATGATGGGATAATACAAGCACCTACTGGTTAATAAATTGATGTTCGCGTCCGATTCCAACTGGAACAAGCAGTTATTATGACGAGTAAAAAACATTTTTTTGTGTTCCTTCTTTACCAAAGTGATGAAGTAACTGGTTAGCAGATGAGCCTTGTGACATTTGGTTTCTATGTAACTCAAAGAAGACTATCTTACAAAAGACTTTTTCTCTCAAATTAGGTAATCGTCCCTGTATTATCCAAATACCGCCTTCAGTGCGCTACCCATCAGGCACTTTTGTCCAAAATACTTTCCTACTATACACATTACTGATCACGCTCTGCCATACAAAACTGAACAGCTTAAGAGAACTGCAATACCCTGTTATGGTAGTTTTTGGATCACCTCACTGAATACTTAATGTTCGAATAATTATTTGCGCACATATAGTTACCAAGAGATCACGAAAAAAATCAATGGTGACATCTGCCTTAAAATTACTCATTTCCCTACATACCACACAATTAGATATCAGAACAGTGCTCACCAATGATTGACTTCAAAAAGATTGCTTAAAGGTTTAATCATATATCTTAACTAGGGCCTAAACCAATTAGACCTTGAAGTAAATAAATAAGCATCTTTAACAGTGAATGTTGATTACGTTATGTAGTGCGGTCAGTAAAATTGCGAAAATATTAACCAGTGTACTTCACCTATAACATGCTTACAGGGAGAATTAACTACTTCCTCTTAAGTTCCAAACCAGGACAAGACCACAGTTCAATACTCTGTGGTTTTAATTGACTTTTTTTAAAACTGAATTCATTCTGTGATGAAAACTAGCTAGAAAATAATAAAAGCAGCTTAAGCATGCATGTCACCAGACATATTCTAAACTTTTTCTATTTGAGTAACTCTAAGTTTGTTACCCGTATGCTTTTAATAAAGGAACAAGGTGAAAGCGACAGATTTTTTACTTTTGACTTTTTATTGAGAAAGTGAGTAAATAAGTGGTTCATCGAAGAGACTGTATGCTACGAATTCATTCACTAAGTTGTACAATCGCATCTAAATACAATTTTATTGTTGTGTGAAATATACCCATAATTATTTGAAAGAAGAACAAGTATTTCAGCGAAAAGCCTCTCTTGTGATGTTGACCAATATATCAGCAAACTTCACACACATGTACAATTTGAAAATTTAATTAGCCAAACTAGTGATCTTCTCCCGACTTCCGACCGAGAGTTTCAACGCTTCGAATCGACCGTTACAGACTGCTGCCATCAATACCTCAGCACATATAACCATAGACAGGATATTCAGCGAGGAGGACTCTTTTCAAAGAATTTATTCTCAAGCTGTACATTCTTATATACATGATATTTAAAGACTGTAATCCGTGAGAAAGATTTGACCGAAATAATGGGGGTTGGAACAATAATAATGATGATGGTGATAACCATAATGTTGATATATCATATATATATGAATGTACAGCTTGAGAATAAGTTCGTTGAAAAGAGTCCTCTTCGTTGAATATCTTGTTTTTGATGTCACAATGGGAATAATGAACAAAGTCAAAGGGCCACAGCTTCTTAACAAAACAGCACACAGAACAACTCAAACAATTAAAATGCAACAAGGATTTGATAATAACGCGCCTGAATAAAAGTTTGGAAGTGGTCATACCAGATAGAAGTGTCTATATTGACAAAATGTTGGCTCTATTCTCAAACAAAAATTCTATGAACCTGGTAACGAGAAAAATAAGACTAGACTGATTGAACTGATGTTTTAAAAAGGTTGAAAAATGATCAGCTAATAACCAATGATCTCTACGGAAGCATCAAACCAACAGGCTCCACAGTTCCACGACTTTACGGATTACCGAAAATTCACAAGGCTGGTCTGCTCCTTCGTCCGATCCTAGACATGTTTGAATCTCCTTACTATCCAATCGCAAAATGGCTAGTCGAAATCCCAGAATCTTTAATAAGACGAATCGCCATTCACTCTCTATGTGACACGTTTGAATCTGTTGATTGCATAAGAGACGAAGACGTATCTAACAAATGTATGATATCACTTGATGTCGAGTCATCTTTCACCAATGTTTCACTTACCGAAACTATCTCATTATTATGCAGATACATAGAAGATAACAATATAAATGTTGGGATACCGACCTCCCGCCTTTAGAAACTTTTACTTAGATGCACACTCAACGTTCAGTTCACATTTGACGACGTGATTTACAGACAAAAAGATGGAATCGCCATGGGATCCCCACTGAGTCCACCACTAGCAGACCGCTTTATGGCCAGTTTGGAGAACGGACCCCTGAAATCAACGATTGAAGGTTTTCATCTGTACGAAAGGTACATGGACGATACTCTTACTCTCTGTGACTATCAATATGATTCGAATCATGTCCTACAAATATTAAATAACTGCCACTCAATAATCAGATTCACCCTTGAGGTCGAAAATCGATCGAAAATTCACTTTCTTGATTTAGAACTTACAAGAACAGCCGATGGAACGTTAAGCAGGTTAATTCACAGAAAACCAATGTGGAATGGTCTACTGATGAACTTTAATAGTTGGGTCCCAATGAGTCACAGCCGAAAGTCGGTCATATCTCTAGCCACTCGTATTAGGCGAATCTGCAGTCCCGATGTGTTAGAAGAAGAAATTTCTGTTCTAAAGAACACCCTGATGGAAAACGGATTCCCACCACGCTTCATAGGCATACACATCAGACCTAAACCTCGCAAAGAGAACCTTACCACTGTGCCAAAAAAGATACTCCATATAACTTTCAACTTCAAAGATGATTCTGCCGCTGACACTAAAAATTAGATATCAAACGATCTAAAGAGAACATTCTTTGCATTAAGGCTGAGACTAGTATTCTCTTGTCGCCCAACGATTTCTAACAACTCAAAGGAGAAACTTTTGGATCTGACCACTTCCACGTGCATATATCAATTTACCTGCTCTTATGGAGCCAGGTATATAGGTCGTTCGACGTCACTGTTATCCAAAACAGTTCAAGAACACTATCCTGCATGGTTACAAAACGGTAACAATGGAGGGATAAGGAGTGACATAACTGAACACATCGTGAACACAAATCACTCTATCTCAAAAACCTCCTCATTTGAAGTCATTTATAAAGTGAAAAGAAACCTCTCAAAGGCTGTATGTCTTCGTATACTCTGCATCGCCGAAGCTCTTGCATCTAAATAGAGAAGCCTGAACTGTATGCACAAAAGAAGAGTGTTCAACCCCTTCTCCTTTCATGGTCTTAGTTTTCAGTCTCCTATACTCCCCCCTTTTTCCTTTTCGTCTTTCTATTTCGACACTATTCACTTCCTAAGAAATTTGCTACTCATTCTTGTTGCTATGCTCTGCCTGATCACAATTCAGTTTCCAGACTTCTTGTTCAAACTTGATTAATATTCACTACTCATCAGCTTTTTGGTTTTTTTCACTTTAATTTTAATGACAACTCATTTATTGACACTATTTGTGTTACCATGCTTGACAAACCATTTTTAACTATCAAGTCTTTAGACTAGAAAAAAATGTATAAATTTGCGATTGTACAGCTTTGAAAATGAAACCGCCGAAAAGAAATTCTTCACTGACGTGCTTGTTCTTCTTCCAATTTTTTTGTTGGTGGTGAGAATGTACAATTTTTTTTCCTATGTGAAAGTTGCTTTGTGATGCATGGCTTGTGTGTATCAGTTCACCTGCTCCTGTGGAGTTGAATACATTCATCGTTGGGTTCTGTCCAAAAAGGTTCAAAAACACCATTCTATGTGACTACAAGCATGTAATAGTGGATTTATAAGAAGTGAGATAATGGAATACCTAGTAGGCACAGGTCATTGAATTTCAATAACAACCTCTTTCAAAGTTATTTACAGCATGAAAAGAAACTCTCTTTTGAATTGCTGAAGCTTTAGAGATTCATACGGAAAAGCTGGAGCTTTGTATACAAAACAGACCTGTTCAATCCTTGATCCTTTCACGGCTTTAATCTTCAGAGCTTTTTTCTAAGCATCTCCCCCCCTTCATGTAACGCTTCTTTCCATTCAAATTATCACCTACCCCTTTTTTCTATACCCACCGTGATTGCAACTCATTCATAATTAATTATTTTGTCATGTTAGTCAAATTGTTACTCAGATTTCATCTTTACTTAATTTCTATGACATCTTGAATAATACTAACGAATTATAGTTCCTGCATTTATATATAAATGCGATTATATAGCTAAGTGAATGAATTCACCGAAAACAGCCTCTTCGCCGAACCCCCTATTTTTTTCATTTTCTTATGTGTGTTTATGAACAGTTTAGTTGAAAGACAAAATTTATTTCTTAATGGATAAGTTTCTGTATTTACTTACTATACGTTAGCTTTATCTTATTCATAGATTTTGTCTTTTAGGTTTACAAACATCAGATTCAGAAGGATCACACCTACCACATTCATTATTTAGTGCCTTGTGCAAAGAAATACGTCGTCTACAATCACGTTCAGTCAGCCTGGTAGAAGCATTAGATTTATTGAGTTCAGGAAATTACAATACAGAGAAACTTGATCATATGAAAAGTCTTGTACTTAATTCAAACGTAAGAAGAAAGTAAGTCTTGACATAATAATGAGATATTTCTGTTTTACAGTTCTAATTATCTGTAACAGTTACTGGTTGTTTTGAACGATAATGTTAGACTAAAATGCTATTAGCCTTATTAGCCAGTATACATTATGTTGTGTCAGTTGGTGTTTCAAATGATCTTATTGATATGAAGTTTGAGAAACTTGCTCGATGTCTTAATGAAATTGTCTCCTTGCACAAATAATATCTACCAGCAGTTTGGGTTTGACAGAAAAGTACTCGTGAGTAAACGTGAACAAAATAAAGTGCTGAGATCCTGTAATATGTCATTTTCAAGTCAATTACCGCATTACTCACGGATTTATCATCATTTTCAAATTCATTGCATACATATATCCTAAAAATGGGACTACAAAAACGCGTGAATTGAGACAGTGGTTGTACTTTAATTACTCCTAACTAAAAAAATTATTTAGCTCATCCACAGTGGTTATCAAATAAGGTATTCAAACAATTGCCCGATTACTTTCATCTTTAATCAAATAAACTTCGCTTTTAATATAAAACAGACATTATAAGAAGTTAGATTTGGTGTCACTTACGTTTATTCTTCGCGGAATCATGCTGCTGTCCACTCAAAGCAAAATATTAAGCCGCATCATCCTCCAGAGACTAAAGGATGCACTGGATTCAAAACTATGACCGGAACACGCTGGCTGACTGGATTCAGGAAGTGCAAATCATGTGCAGATCAGATTGCAACGCTACACATCATCATAGAACAGAGTATAGAATGACAGAATGGCAACTCTCTACCTCAACTTCATCGACTTTGAAAAGGCCTTCGACAACGTCGAGCAAGAAGTAATTTGGCAGTTGCTTCAACACTACGGAATACCACAAACCTTTATCAGCCTCATTCAACAGCTATGTGAAGACGCCACATGCCAAGTAATTCACAATGAGAAGCCCAGTGATGCCTTTGAAGTGAAGACAGGAGACAGGAGTAAAACAAGGCTGTCGTCTACTATCACCCATGATATTCCTGATTGTGGTCGACTGAACTGGATCATGCAAGAAACAGTGAGGAGCGAGAAGAGGGGATACACTGGATCGGAGAAAAGATCCTAGGAGATTTGGATTTTCCCGATGACTTGTGGCTAATATCGCACAAACTTGGAGATCTACAGGCGAAAACTAACAAGTTGACAGAAGAGGTGAGGCATCGAAGACGGGACTTCAAGTGAATATAGAGAAGACAGAGGTGATGAAGATGCCCAACCAACACCAACAACAACAACAACAAGCTCCAATCACCATGAACGGGAGAAACTTAAAGGAAGTAGCCTCCTTCACCTATCTAGGCAGCACTGTTTCAACTACAGGCGGCATAGATGAAGACGTCAAAGTAGCCAGGATCGGTAAAGCAAGACAGGCTTTCATTAACCTGAAACCAGTGTGAAGATCTACTGCACTCAACTCAGCATAAAGCCTGAACAATATGCGGATTTTTAACACCAATCCAGTCAAGTCAGTGCTGCTAAATGGTTGAGAGACTTGGCGTATTACGAAAGGGATTTCCAACAAATTACAGACATTCATCAACCACTTCCGCCTACACTGGCTCGTTACTGAAGCTCAGATGGATTGGCATAAAGAATAAGCAACAAGGAACTCTGGCTGACTGGCGACGAACCAACGGAGCAAGGACCTATCGCTGAACAAATATGCAGTGGAAGTAAGTGTAGATGGATTGGGCATACACTGAGAAGGCCGAGTGGGGACATCACGCTGCAGGCCAGTCACTCGAGTGGAACCCCGATTGGAAGCGACGAGTTGGGTGTGCGGGATGGGGGTGACGCGGAGGAGATTGTGGGAGGAGGAAATGAGAAGTTGTGGGCTGTCGTGGAGCCAGATTCAAAAGACTGCAGAGGCGGAGTGGAATGGAGATGTGCTACTGTTCCATTAGGAACTCAAGGGACAAATAATAACATTAATACGTTTTTCCTACTGAAGATACAGATTCCTATTATTGGACTTAAAATTACTCAAGAAAGCCTAACTTTCTCAGAAAAGAAGGCACAAGCAGTAACTTATTATGGATGTATATGACAGTCGGGCAATATTCTCATTGGCGTAAGTAAAGACTTGTTTAATAGCTGAATTTCACGGTCCAGTCAGTATAAACCGGGTCTAGTACCTAGAGGCTAATAACTCGAACTCTGATGTGATCTATGTTTTCGTTTCCTTTCTAGTCATCATCCTGTATTAATAATACCAGTCTGCCAAACCACACCTGTCAAATTATGTTACAGTCCTCATACTACCTAATGAACGATGAATCTTTGTAAACATGCATATCTCGCACTTAGAAGTCCGTCAATAGTAATTGAAGAAACCGGATATATCATAACTATTATCCACATTCATTTAAACGAGAAGCTAACTATTCACTGACACTATATATATACACTTGGTTAGTGGAATAGTGCACTTATTGTAAATCATACTGCTTCTGTTTTTCAGGATAAAAATAATTTCAGAACTTGGATTTTATTTTTACAGACTAACTATGAGATGAAAGATGCATTTCTGTTGATAAACGACTGAAGATATCAGACTGTACAAGCTTAAGGTATATTTAGCGTTTTAACAAGTTAAACAAAATTTACTAACATATAAAGATTGAGAAAAATCTAAATAACTCTTTCATAAAGCTTATTGTGATTAAGAATACATGTTACATTGAAAAGATGTGTACACTTTGCTGTGGCGTTCATCTCAGGAAAGCTACAGCATCGACAACATACCCTGACACTAATTTAACCATTTCAATATTTTCCGACTGAAATATGTTAGTTTCTTCTGGCAGTAAAGGTGATTATCAATTGTGAACTAAAAATAAATAAAAACCGCCTATCACAACTAGCAATTGGTGAATGATTTTGAACAGAATAAGGAGATTAGTCACTGACTTTTTACAGATTTGAAATTCAGTTGACAAACAAATCTACTGATCACCATCCATTAACTTAAAGAAACAAAATAAGTGACTATTTAACAAATAACTTGTGATATACACTGTCTTGTTGTTTTTTTCTACCTTATTAACTAATTTAACTTTTGCAATTCATGATACATCATTTTTAAATGATCTGTTTTGAATTTTATACAATCAAAAGTACAAGTTCATCAGTCTGGAAGAATACTTCTCTGAATAGTATTGGAATTGGTGCTAAAAGCAATCGTTATAACAATACGGATTTGAAATTACCTATTACTGTTCGTTCCATAAATTTACGGAATAATTCAATTGTGTCAGTCAATTCTCGATCAACTAAAAAGTGTTCAAATATTTCGCCAACTTCATCACATAATCAACAATTATCAATCCTTGATAAACGTAGGCAAAGAGTAATATCACTTAGAATGTCTAATGATAATAATAACAATGATGATGATGATGATGGTGATAATGTCAAATCAAAATGTTCAGTTATACAAGAGCCTACAAATGCAAAAAATTTGATATTATCTTCACTAATCCCTTTACAACTAAATTCACCAACTCTATTATCACAAAAGTCAACTGAACAACAATCTTTAGATCATTCACAATCAAATCTTTTACAACAACAAACAAGAAGTACAACAATTATATTATCATTACAATTTACCATTATCTTTTAGTCCACGTGTACAACGTCGTCCAGTTTCATTTTATTTAAGTCGAAGTATAGATAAATTTGCAAAATTTCCAATTCTAGAAGCTGATGAAGAAGAACAAGATGATGATGATGATGATGACGACGACGAAGAAGAAGATAATGAAGTGAAAGAAGAAAGTGAGGAAAATGAAAAGCATTATAACAATCATGGTAAGTATATTGATAAAGATATTGAGGTTGAAAAATTAAAAGAATGCAATATAGTATTAGTCACTAATCAATTGTGAATACAATATCATTAAACTTATTTCAATTTGTACAATCTGATACATTCATTTATTTAATTGTTTATCATTTCAGTCGCTTATACATACCTACTTAAATAAAAAAATTTTTTTATTGTTTTCTGATGTAATTCAACAACTTCTATGTGTATATTAAGTCTACATTTGAATTTCATACTCTATTCCTGTTGTACATTTTATTTATGCATTATACATGTTGATAATAACTAACGTTGTATAGGGATCATAATACACCAAGTTATGTGTATTATCATAAACTTACTTTTACTTATATATTCATGTATAATGAGATGTATTCATCTTCTCATTAACCTTCATTTTATTTTTCTAGGTATAAAACTTTTTTTTAACTTTTCTACTTTCTTCGTTTACTGTTCATTTTTTTTCTTTTCTTTCTATATACTTGTTTACAGATAGATATGAATGATGTTTATTCTTTTATAACATTATTATTGTATATACATAGAAATAGTTGATAATTGTTTGCTACATGTTTTTTTATTTTAACTTTTCAATAATTTTATTTTTCTGTTACAAGTTCCCTTTTTTAGTAGATTGTAAACAATAATAGTTAATTGTGATCTCCTGTATGTTAACCCTGTCAACTTCATGAATAGTATATATTCATCAACTTTCTCAACATAGAAATATTGATTACGATTACTAATTTGCACATGACATGATTTAGATACTTTTTTAATGTTTTTTTTTAGGTGAAAGTTTGTTTTCTTATTTTATTATCATGATATTGTTATTCATAGTAGAAAAGATCAGAAATAGATTGATGGATATATGAATAAATGAAAATAATTACTATCAGGTTGTTTCGTCTTCGTCTTCTTCTTTTTCATGTTGGACGTGTTTTTCTAAGATATACTTTAATTGATATCAAAATTAAGAAGTAGTCTGAAACTATACAAATGTAAAAGGCACTAACAACTCTCGAGATAGAATCTATGACCTTAGAGCCTTGAATCAAAAAAGCTACAGAGATGTTGAGTTGGAATCTACAAGCTAGTTTTTCAATATATAATATCCTACGAAGCGAATTCAGTGTTAGTTGTAATTGTCTGTTATCAATCTCAGCCTTATCAACTATTCAAGTCACATAGATGCCTTCTTATTAATACTAGGTGATGATTCAAGGTGAAATGAAAATCTGGGCTACAACAGAATTCGAATAGTATTAATTAATAAAGCTTCTTCAATCAATGATTCATCATGAATGCAAACGCATGCCGCTAGCATGAATTGATGGTCTATTCTAATAAGTTTGAAATGGTTTTTGATGGTTGACAACTGTTGTACAGTTAACTATGTAAAGTGTGTTCAATTATGCAGAATATTTAATAAATAATTCGGTGTAACTTTTCAATGTACAGTTTAGATTACTACTCTGAAGAAGTAACCCCCTATACTATTAGTTAATTACCAAAGGGCTTTCTTCTTCCACTTCTCCTGCTCGTATATGATAACTTCTGACTAATGATTGATTGATAAAATTCAACTATATGGTTATCTTCTCTTGGACAATTTCAATAAGTCTTAGTTCTGCATTTAAATGAATGGGCAATCAAATAATGACTGAATAACAAACGAAGTCATAAACATATGAAAAGATTCGTCTAAATTGCCCCATTTAAACTATAGAATTACTCAGATTAGTCTGTATTGATAATATAAACTTAGTGATTACGTTATTGCATATTGTCGTGTATTTCCATAGTTATCATTACTATCACGGAACTTTGAATCAAATTAAAAATTGACTAAACTCTCACTGAATGTAACTGATTTATCCACTGCATTAGCTTATGAAGTCTGAAACCTTCAGTATGAATATACAATTAATTTACTATTTTAGGCTACCACTATTTATTGTTTATCTAATTACAGAAAATGGAATAATATTCTTTTTTGAATGAATTTTAGGTTCACTAAAAAAAAATGTTTAAATTGTATCATTCATTCATCATGATGATTCACTTGAAACATTTGACGATTTATGCAAGGTTATCAATGTGATTGATAACATGCTGTATCAATAAACTTCATGAAGTAAACTAAAGACTCGTATATGAAGTTCATATTTAGAAATAAATTATATTACTCCTGAATGCAGTAATTATTGAAAATTTAAGTTTCGTTAAAAGATCAAGTTTTCTTCATTTAGTTCAAGTGAATTTTTTCAAAGACAGCTTAGTCAGTTAGTTAATAATCAGCTGTACTTCTTATATCTTAACGACTAATTTAGATTAGAAAAGGAAGTTGCCATGAAAAAAAATAAGCACAAAATTATAATAACTTTTGGTGACTAGGGTTACCTTAAACTTAATTTTTCTCAAATGAATTTAGCAACTTAAATAACAGATAACCAACTAAGTGACAAGAAAGCTAACAGTTTCATTTCTACTGTAACCTATTTATTCCATTGATTGCATTGTTTCAAGATTCCACTCTATAAAACATCATGGAAAACAGTAGTCAACAATGAAAGTGGTAATAAGGAAATAACCAACAAAAGTGTGAACCAATGTTTGGTGACTCATTGATGCCTTTGAAGTGAAGACAGGAGTAAGACAAGGTTGCCTACCATCACCGATGATCTTCCTGACTATGATCGACTGGACTGGACTGAAGGAGCTGTGAGAAGATCGGCATACGCTTGACGGACCGATGAAAAGACCATAGAAAATATGGATTCCGCCAACGATGATGATTTATGTCTGATATCTTATGTCACACTAACTCGAAGATCTACAAACAGAAACTAACAAGTTGGCAAAAGGAGTAAAACAGCGAAGACGAGACTTCCTTCAGTGATCGTAGAGAAGACAGAAGTGATGAAGATATCCAGCCAACAACAATGAGCACCCATCACCACCAACAGGAGAAACCTAAAGTAAGTAGTGTCTTTCACCTATCCATCTACCTAAGCAGCATCGTTCCAACTACAGGCGACACAGGCACAGATGAGTATATGAAAGCCAGTCACCATCGAAAAGACACCAAGACAGGCCTTCCTGCATCAATCTGAAATCAGTGTGGAGATCTACTGCACTGCAATCCACTGTACTCCACTGCACTCCACTCAGCATAAAGCGTGAACAACATCCGGATTTCCAACACTAATTCAGTCAAGTCAGTCAGTGTCTCTATGTGATGATTGACAGACTTGGCGCGTTACAAACAGCATTCCCAACAAACTGCAGATATATATCAACAACTGCCGTCTACACCCACTCAGTACTGAAGATCAGGTAGATGGCCACAATAATAAGAATGAGCAACGAGCAACTCTGACTGGCCCCACAATGAACCAACCAACAACCCATCTCCCAACAAATATGGAGTGGAAGAAAGTGGAGATGGATGGTATTGTATTGTTTTGGACATACATTGAAGAGATCGTTTGAGGACATCACGTGCCAGGCCAGACCAGACCAGGTCAGTCCGGGTTAGGCTGTTGAGTGGAAGCCAAATGGAAATGATGAGTTGGGCGTCCAAGACGATGGTAACATGGAGGATATGGTGTGAGTAAGAAATGAAAGGTTGTGTGGAGTGGTGGTTCCAGGTTGAGAAGAGTGTAGATAAGAGAATGAAATGGTGACGTGTTAGTGAAGCGTTATGTTCGACTAGGAACCCAAGGGACAAATAATAATAATGTTCGGTGACTGACTGACTAAATCAACGTAGAACCTCACACACAGATGCACTGGCTCAAGTCGCCACAATTCATAGTAGTACACGAAGAACAGGTGGATAAAAAAAGAGTGATATCAAAGTAGGCAAATTTGTGCGGGAGAATAAATAATCTTAAGACAAAGGTTAGTGTGAATATTCAAGCTTTAGATGTCAAAAAGTGAATACATCTGGGCCACTGTGACCGATTTTCAGGCATATCATCCAAATTGTGTCCTCAACCACTGATTCTTTTCATCTCCGGGATCCCTGTCTGGCAGTCTGCATCTCCGCATTCGACTGAGACCAACAGTAAGAGACTTTATTCACTGGTGCCACGTCTTCTTCTGGCCACCCTTAACCTTTTTCCAACCTAATCCAACTTCTCCTAACATGACATGTCAACATAGGTGGTGGATCGGCATGCACAGTACATGTTCAAGCCATCTCGGTCGATTTGCCCATCTTGCCTAGTACCCTTCGCCCGATATCAACATTGCTCACAATGATTCCACCAAGAGCGAGAAATGCCTCAATGACACTTATGATCAAAACCCTATAACCTCTTCCTGTCTTCTACTTTTAACGGGTATGAAAGATTTAATCAAAGAAATGAAAACAGAACTTATGTAAGAAAGTGATTTTATGTTGAAATATCAAAAAAGTTCAACATTTGAAACGAAATCGAGTAACTGAAATGTAAACTAATGGTAACAGTCAGCAAAAGGGATTATGAACTTATAAGAGATTCTGTCAGCAATGGTAGAATAGCTGCTTTTCGAAACCCTAGCGACATCCAGGTTAATGAACTCATCAAACTAATAGACAAGGAACTACCAGTTCAGAAAAATAATGCAAGTAGTGATGTATCATCAACGACCAATAAGACAAATTAGGTTGTCAGTCTGTCAACAAAAATGTTAAGTCCTACAAAAATGAATGTGTTAGACAAAGGACTCAACTTCAATTTGGTCACTGGTTCGAACCCAGCCATGGCCGAATTTTCATTTCAACTTTAATCATCACACTGTATAAAGACTTGTCTGTCAAACTACGGCTATCTCAGATAGTCAAATGATAACAAAGGAATTGAAACTTGAACACTTAATTCTTAAGATGAAAATAGTACTAAGTTCAGTAGATAAAGTAATCGTACGAGATAATCAAGTAAAATATGCACCAGCACAGAAACTGTAGAAGGAATATAGAAGAAATTCCTTAGAAGCAGAAATAGAATCTGTAAAATGTCTTCGAAATGATAAGAATGTAGTTAATGTCAACTCGAATAAAGGGAATTCAGT